AGGAACCTGCTCTATACCATGTGAAGAAATGAGGAATGAATGAACTAGGAAACAGGTGGGTACAAGTAGGAAAACCTAATAGTGTTGTAACCCATATTGTCTACCCCACTACAGCCTACACAGACTATAGCATATGAGTTTGACATGTACCCCTTAGAGTACATGGCTAGTCTAGGTTGTTTTGTATTCCCTGTATTCTACATACCGTATAGTTCCGGCTAGAAGACCCGCCGGTAAGAAGTCCCCCGGGACTCTTGAATGGGTAGGGGGACTCTTATTGTGGCCGATTTTGTGAGGACCCCCCTTGCATCTAATCATCATAAGACCCCCCTTTGTATATACAGTAGTATAATTGCTATTGTGCGTCAGCTTTTAATAGTGTAAATTCGAATTCTGACACGTTTTTTGTGTCAGACTCGAATTCTGACACTTCATTTGTGTCGGACTCAAATTCTGACACGGATCTGACGCGCCGCACGTGCAAAATTTGCGCGAATTCGTTACGAATATAAGACCCCCCCACCCTAAATAGACTCGTACACCCTAAATGTCAGATTGATGATTGACAAATAGGTTACTCGGGTCTTAAAAAATTGCTGACCGCCATAATGTCCACCCAAGCACAATTTCCAGCATTTGTAGAGAGTCCCCGGGTCTTCTAGCCGGAACTATACGGTATATACCTGATGTATGCATGCTTTTAATTATTTCAGTCATTTACATTACTCTGATCTGAGGTCAACATTCCGCTGCAACAATTCTACCAGCAATGATCCCTGAGACGATCCTTCGCTAAGTTAGGATTGTCGCATGGTATGAGAGCTACCCAGATATTCTTTGCAACTTCATTTCCGTGAAATTCACCAAACCAAGATCTGGCGAGCGGCACATGCTCCAAGCGGCACACGCTCTAAGACCAGGATGGCAGGAGGATCCCGAGGCCAGACAAAATCTTACGGCCGAAGGACAAGCCATCCGCTGCGAGAAATGAGGCGACAACTACGATAAGAACAACTGCACTCGAGCATGGTTTTCGTGACTTTCAACTATGGAGAAAGATCTCCAAGCACTGCGCAAAGGCGATGCGGGAACCTCTTCCCAACCGGCACAACCTGGTCAACTGGCTGCGAAAAGCCGTGATACCGCTGCGCACACCTTCTCCCTCTACACAAACAAATCAACATCAACTGCCCCCTGTCCAAGTGATGAAGTCATCAATTTTGCGCAAGCATGCTTCCTCAGCGTTTCAAAAATCAAGACTGCTTCCGAGTTTGACGGCAAGGATTTCTTTACATGGAGTTTTGAGCTAGAGCTCCTCCTACAGATAGTGCAGATCTGCCATTATTCGACGGCTCCTACTCTAAATTGGTGGAAGACAATGAAGATGCCCGGGCTTAGTACTGCAGCGAGTCCCTCATGGCGTGTAGTGTGGTGTGACGAGAAGTGAGAATGGAATGAATGAACTATGAAACAGTTGGGTACAAGTATTAACCCTAATTGGGTTGTACCCTTATGGGCTACCCCACTACAGCCAACACAAATGTATAAGCTATAATGTTCTGACACACCCCCATAGGCAAAGTGGGGGAGAACAAACAAGGTCACAAGACCAGTCAAGCAAAGCAAAGCAAAGCAAAGCAAGCTCAGGGTGGATCACAAAGTCACCACACAGTCCAAGCACAAGAGTAAGGCCAGAAGGCCAGTCACAAGCAAGGTCATATATATAAAGGTAAAAACAAGCAAGGGCAGGTATAGAAAGAAGACAGTACAAACAAGATCAAGAAGTGAGCAAGTGAGGCCAGGTAGGCACAAGACCTAGCACAGTACAGAAGCGCTGATGATCACAAGGCGGAAGGGCCTGGTGAAGATATCAGCAGTGTTGGCCTCAGAGGCCACGTAGGTGAGGCGGAGCTGACCCGCTGCTGCAGCTGACAAGACAGGAAGTAGCGGAGAGCAATGTGCTTCGTTCTGTGCTCCAGTCTGTGCTCCCGACACAAGGCGAGCATGGCCTTGTTGTCTACATACAGAATGGAGGAGAAAGAGGCGGCTCTCCTAGGTCAGTCAGCAGGTAGGTGAGCCAGCGTAGCTCCTGTGCAGCCATGGCCCCGGCGTAGATCTCAGCCTCACAGCTGGAGCCGAGAACAGAGGACGAGCAGGTAGACCGCCACGAAACAGAGCCGGAGCCAAGGCTGAAGGTGTAACCCTGTGACGACCGCTGCGTAGCCTGGTCGTCAGCCCAGAAGCGTCAGCGTGACCTGTGAGGACTACTCGACGTCCCTCCAAGCACTAGCCCCATGCCCGACGTACTGCACACGTAGCGCAACACCCCTCTTCGCTGCAGCCATGTGCTCTGGTCGGTGTCTCCCAGGAGCAACATAGCGTGCTAAGATGCTAAGAGGGTATGCAAGGTCAAGCCCTACTCCTGCGGCCCTGCGCCCTACTCAGCGGCCCCGCCACCGTTCACCAGCGGCCCTGCCCACCCTACACCGCCCGCGCTGCCAGAACAGCCCGAGCCGCCCGAGCCGCCCGAGCTGCCCGAGACACCCGAGCCGCCGAGTCGCCCGAGCCGCCCGAGCCGCCTGAGCCACCCGAGCCGCCCGAGCCGCCCGAGCCGCCTGATCAGCCGAGTCGCCAATGCCGCGGAGCCGCAGTCGCTACTGAGCCGTCCGAGCAGCCGTGTTGCCGTGTTACTGCACTATTGAGCTGCCCGACTTGCCCTGTCTGGTGAGACCAGCGCTTCTGTCACTGCACTGCCCCTGTCCTACAGTGGTCTCACTAGTCTACTGCTGTCATGGTCTCCCCTAGTGTTCTCGCTTTTGACGCTGAGGGTCGAGCCATCGACTTTGAGGTTTGGGTAGATAACCTGCAGCTCTTCTTACAGTGCTATAGGGCAGACGGTCTCTCCCTCTTTGACCTCACCTCTGGCGCCTCTCCTGCCACTGCTGCTGATGCTGACCCCACTGTTCGCTCCCAGTGGGCCACGCGCGATGTTGCTGCACGTCTTGCTGTGCGTCGCCACCTGCCTACCTCTGAGCGCGCGCACTTTACTCAGTACAAGAGTGCTCACACCTTATACGACGCTGTAGTTGCGCGCCACTCTTCCCCTGCCACTGCTGCACTGAGCCGCCTCATGCTACCGTACCTCTTTCTTGACCTTGCTGCCTTTCCCACAGTCGCTGACCTCGTTACGCACCTCCGCACTAGTGACACTCGCTACCGCGCCGCACTTCCTGCTGAGTTCTGCGCCAAGAATCCCCCCCCCATGTACATCACTCTCTATTATATAGTCACTCGCCTCCCTTACTCCCTTCGCGTTGTCAGGGACCACTTCCTCTCAGTCTGTCCCACCACTCTCACTGTTGACCCCTTAGAGAAGGCCCTCCTCGCAGCGGAGAAGAGCATAGTCGCTGTAGGAGCCTCTCCTGGTGACCCTCGCACCCCCATCTTTGAGGGGTGTTCCCCTTCCCCCCTTTTGTCCTCTGTCGCCTCTGCTGCTGCGGCCGACCTCGTTGGTCTTGAGTCGGTCGGTGCGGCGTCTGCCCCTAGCGGAGACGCCGCTCTGGCAAGGGCAAGGGTGGCAAGGGCGCGGGTGGGGCTAGCGGGGGTGGTGGAGGTGGCAATGGGGGCGGCGGGGGAGTGGGGGTGGCGGTGGGAGTGGTGGCGGGGGTGGAGGTGGCGGTGGCAGTGGCGGAGGCGGAGGCGGCGGTGGCGGTAGCGGTGGGAGCGGCGGCGGCGGTGGCGGCGGAGGTGGAGGCGGCGGTGGTGGAGGAGGTGGAGCTGGTTGGGGTGGTACTTCTCAGCGGAGCGGCTCCGGGAGTGGTCAGCGCCAGCAGCAGCAGCGTTCTCTGGACATCCCCCCTCCTCAGCAGCTCCGTGAGTGGTACACGCAGCGTCAGCGTGGTGGGGGTTGTCTAGGGCAGGCGTAGCTATCTTTGATCTTGACTTTGATGCTATCCTTGCTGCCATGTATGCTGTGACTATTAGTGATGAGGGTGACTGTTACCGGTGTTTCCCGCCCGACCCGGGCATTGGTACTGCTGCTCTAGGTGCCAGTGCGTCCGCGCCCTCAGGTGCTGGTGAGTCTGCGCTCTCAGGCACCACGTCGGCTTCGGCCTCCCTCACCTTCACACTTGACTCAGGGGCTTCTCGCTCCTTCTTTCGAGACCACACCACACTCACGCCGCTTGGTCGGCCAGTTGCAGTCTCCCTGGCAGACCCCTCTGGGGGTCCTGTCCTCTCTCACTTCTCCACTGTCCTCCCGTGTCCGGCTGCTCCCTCTGGCACCTTGTCTTGTCTTTACCTCCCCTCGTTCTCTACAAACTTGGTGAGTGGTGCTGACCTGCAGGATACGCGGGTTCACCAGTTCACTCCTGCGAGTCAGCGGGTGACCCACTGCACGGACGCTCGGACAGGCCGACACCTGGCCACGTTTACACGTCAGCCGGGGTCGAGCCTGTACACACTGGCCACTGAGTCTCCTCCAGTCATTGCGTCTGGTCAGGTAGCTGCGTCGGGTCAGGTGTTTGCTGCAGCGTCCAGGTCTGGTCCTGAGTCTGCCCCCTGCTCGTGTCGCCTCCTGTCTCACGAGACTCTCCTCTGGCAACACCGTCTTGGTCACCCCTCCCTGCCTCGTCTCCAAGGCATGGCTTCCCGTGTCCTTGTCTCTGGTCTTCCCCGGTCCCTCCCTCCCCTTCCTCCGGGGCCTGGTCCTTCCTCTGTCCCCTGTGTCGAGGGGCGGCTCCGAGCTGCCCCTCACTCCTCTCAATTTCCCCCGAGAGAGGCCCCGCTGCAGACGCTTCACATGGACGTGTGGGGCCCGGCCCGCGTACGTGGACAGGGTCACGAGCGCTACTTCCTGCTGGTGGTTGACGACTACTCGCGTTACACTTCAGTCTTCCCCTTGCGCAGCAAGGGTGATGTCGCTAAGGTGTTGATCGACTGGATCCGCGCAGCTCGTCTCCAGCTCAGGAGGAGCTTCGGCTCGGACTTTCCTGTTCTGCGTCTGCACTCTGACCGAGGCGGAGAGTTCTCCTCTGGCCTTCTGCGAGCCTACTGTCGTGCGCGAGGCATCCGCCAGACCTTTACGCTTCCGGACTCTCCACAGCAAAATGGGATTGCTGAGCGCCGCATTGGCATGGTCATGGACGTCGCTCGTACGTCCATGATGCATGCGGCTGCCCCCCATTTTCTGTGGCCGTTTGCGGTTCGGTACGCGGCGCATCAGATCAACCTTCACCCCAGGGTCTCCAAACGAGAGACCTCCCTAGCCTTGCTGTGGACGGGGAAGGTCGGCGATGCGTCTGCGTTCCGTGTCTGGGGATCTCGAGCGTTTGTCCGTGACTTGTCTGCGGACAAGCTATCCCCTCGTGCTGCTCCCTGTGTCTTCCTTGGCTTCCCCCCTGACGCCCCTGGGTGGCAGTTCTACCACCCCACCTCTCGTCGTGTTCTGTCCTCCCAGGACGTCACGTTCGAAAAGTCAGTACCGTACTACCCGCCTCTTCCCCTACCGCACTCCTTCCCTCCCCCCGCCACCGCACTTCCTTGTGCCAGGTCCCCCCCCGGTAGACCCCCTCTCCCCTCAGGGTCCTGCCCCTTCAGGTGTGTCCCAGGTAGATGCTGTTGAGCCGGTCGAGGTTGCTGGTGACTCTGGTACTGCTGCGGGTGCTGAGCCTGGGGGTGCTGACTCTGGGGGTGCTGCGCGCGTGGGTGCTGAGCCTGGGGGTGCTGCGTCTGGGGATGGTGCGACTGGGGGTGCTGAGCCTGGGGGTGCTGAGCCTGGGGGTGCTACGACTTGGGGTGCTGAGCCTGGGGGTGCTACGACTGGGGGTGCTGAGCCTGGGGGTCCTTCGCCCGAGGGTGCTGCGTTTGGAGCTGCTGTGCCTGGGGGTGCTGAGTCTGGAGCTACTGAGCCTGGAGGTGCGGAGCCCGCGGCCGCTGGACCTGCTCGTGTGGTGTCTGGCGGTGGTGGGCCTGCTGGTTCTCTGGGTGCTTCGTCTCGGCGGGAGCCACTCTCTCCACAGGAGCTGCGCGAGTGGTTTGCCCGGCGCTAGAGGCGTACTACTGGAGCTGGTGCTTCTTCGGCTGCTGAGGGTGCTGGTGCCGCCGGTCTCGGAGGTGCTAGTCCTGCGAGTGCTACTGGAGTCGGAGCTGCTGAGGGTGTTGGCGCTGAGGCTACTGCTGTCAGTCCTGGCGGCGGTTCTGCTGCGGGTGCTACTAGTGCTGCTGGAGGTACTGGAGCTGGAGGTGCTGATGATGCTGGTGCTGCCGCAGGGGGTACTGGTGCTGTCCCTGCTGTGTCTAGAGTCGCCGCGCGGCCTCGGCCGTACTTTGTTCCGCTCCTTCAGCAGGTTCTTGGTCTTCCTCCTCCCTTAGAGTGTCCACCGCCTGTCCAGTCGCAGTCGCAGTTACCACCGGTCTCCCCACTGCCTTCTCCTTCTCCGTACACTGGTCCTACTGGAGGTCTTGCTGAGCGTCGTGAGCCTGCGTCTCGTCCTGCGTCGCCTGTTCGTGCTGCTCGCACTAGTGGTCGCAGTTCGCGTCAGCGTCCTCCTTCTGTCCCTGGCACGCACCGGATGTCTCTGCGTCCGTCCACTGCTCCTGTGCGTGCCCCTTTGCCCTCTCCTCCTGAGTCCTCTCTTCCTGTGCTTGCCGACCCTGATTCAGACTCTCTTCGTACTGCCAGTCCTACTGTCACGCGTCTCCTTGCTACTGTCGTCACAGACCCCTCCTTTGAGTCCACTACTGCGTCTGCTCTTGTTGCTGAGCTCGTCGACTTTGCTGCTCCCTGTCGTCTAGACTACGCTGCTAGTCTTGTTGCTGAGTCTGCGTCTGTCTGTCCTCCGTCTGTTGGGGGTGAGTGTGCTCTTGGCATGGACGTCCTTGCGGACAGGCAGGAGGAGTTCCAGTGTCTGGCTGCTGCTTCACCTCATCCTGCGTCCGTACTGCTTACCCCTGAGGGAGACCCGGATGCACCAGACATCCCGACTCCGCGCTCTTACGCGGAGGCCGTAGAGGGTCCCTACTCCTCTCAGTGGCAGGCAGCTATGGATGCAAAGATGGCTTCCTCGAAGTCCACAGGCACCTACGTTGACGCGGTTCCCCCTCCTGGGGCGAACATCGTCAGTGGCATGTGGATCTCCAGGGTGAAGCGGCCGCCGGGCTCTCCGCCTGTCTTCAAGGCGCGGTACGTGGCTCGTGGCTTCAGTCAGCGGCAGGGAGTTGACTACTTTCAGACCTTCTCTCCCACCCTGAAGATGACCACTCTTCGGGTGCTGCTACACGTAGCCGCTCAACGTGACTACGAGCTTCACTCCCTTGACTTCAGCACTACTTTCCTGCAGGGTAGCCCGCACGAGGAGATCTGGTTGCACCGTCCACCTGGCTTCACTGGGACTTTCCCTCCTGGCACCCAGTGGAACCTCTGACGGCCAGTCTACGGTCTCCGCCAGGCACCGCGCGAGTGGCACGACACACTGAGGACTACACTTGCGGCTCTTGGGTTTGCTCCCTCTACTGCTGACCCGTCGCTGTTTCTACGCACCGACACCTCTCTGCCGCCGTTCTACATCCTCGTGTACGTCGACGACTTGGTCTTTGCCATAGCTGACACTGCTGGACTCGCCCACGTGAAGTCCGAGCTGTAGAAGAGACACACGTGCACAGACCTGGGTGAACTGCGCAGCTACCTTGGCTTGCAGATCACCCGGGACAGAGCACGCCGCACCATTACCCTGACTCAGTCACACATGGTGCAGCAGGTCCTTCAGCGCTTCGGCTTCACGTACTCCTCGCCTCAGGCCACTCCTCTGTCTACTCGCCACTCGCTCTCTCAGCTCTGCCTTCGGATGAGTCCGTAGAGTCGAGTGGCCCGTACCCAGAGCTTGTTGGCTGCCTCATGTACCTGATGACCTGCACACGACCTGACCTTGCATACCCTCTTAGCATTCTTGCACGCTATGTTGCTCCTGGGAGACACAGACCAGAGCACATGGCTGCAGCAAAGAGGGTGTTGCGCTACTTGTGCAGTACGTCGGGCATGGGGCTAGTGCTTGGAGGGCGGAGTCCAGTGGTCCTCACTGGGCACGCGGACGCTTCTTGGGCAGACGACCAGGCTACGCAGCGGTTGTCACAGGGTTTCACCTTCAGCCTTGGTTTCGGCTCTGTTTCGTGGCGGGCTACTCGCTTGTCTTCTGTTCTCGGCTCCAGTTGTGAGGCTGAGATCTACGCCGGGCCATGGCTGCACAGGAGCTTTGCTGGCTTACCTACCTGCTGACTGACCTCGGAGAGCCGCCTCGTTCTCCTCCGGTGCTGTTCGTAGACAACAAGGCCATGCTAGCCTTGTGTCGGGAGTAGCGCCTGGAGAAAAGAACGAAGCACATTGCTCTCCGCTACTTTCTTGCTCGTGAGTTGCAGCAGCGTGGTCAGTTGCGACTTGCGTACGTGGCCTCTGAGGCCAACACTGCTGATGTTTTCACCAAGGCACTTCCGCCTTGTGATCATCAGCGCTTCTGCACTCAGCTGGGTCTTGTGCCTGTCTTGCCTCACTTGTTCACCCCTTGACCTTGCTTGTACTCTTACATATATATATATATACCTACTCTTGCTTTTTTAGCCTTATATATATATGTGTACTCTTGCATGTGAACTGGCCTTGTGGCCTTGACCTTGTGCTCGGACTGTGTGGTGACGTTGTGATCCACCCTGAGCTTTGTCTGCTTTGCCTGACTGGTCTTGTGACCCCCTGTTCTCCCCCACTTTGCCTATGGGGGTGTGTCAAATTATAATATTGTGTAGGCTATAGTGGGGTAGCCCATATGGGGTACACATTTTCTAGGGTTGCATATTTGTATCACTTCCATTCCTTAGTCATTCATTCTCGTTCACATTTTCTCACGCTTCACCCTGAAGATCCACATCCCACAGACGATGTTCGCCCAAGGTGGGGGAACCTCGTCGACGTAGGTGTCTGTGGACTTCCAGGAAGCCATTTCTGCGTCCATGTCCGACTGCCAGTGAGAGGAGTAGGGACCCTCGATCGCCTCAGCGTAAGATCGAGGAGTCGGGATGTCTGGTGCATCCGGGTCTCCCTCAGGGGCAATCAGCGTGGACACGAGATGGGGCAAAGCAGCCGCAAAGCACTGGAACTCCTCCTGCCTGTCCTCAAGTACGTCCGTGCTAAGAGCACACTCACCCCCGACGGACGGAGGACAAACAGACTCAGACTCAGCAACAAGACTGGCAGCGTAGTCTAGACGACAGCTAGCAGCGAAGTCGACAAGCTCAGCAACGAGAGCAGACGCAGCAGTAGACTCAAAGGAAGGGCCAGTGACGACAGTAGCAAGAAGGCGCGTGTCCGAAGGGAGTCAGACTCCGGGTCAGCAAGAGAAGGAAGAGAGGACTCTGGAGGAGACGGCAACGGGACACGCAGAGGAGCAGTGGAAGGACGCAGTGCCATCTGGTGTGTGCCGGGAACCGTAGGAGGACGCGGACGGGTAGTACGACCACTAGTGCGAGCAGCACGAACAGGTGACGCGGGACGAGACGCAGGCTCACGACGCTCAGCAAGACCTCCAGTAGGACCAGTGTAGGGAGAAGGAGCAGGTAGAGGGGAGGCGGGCGGTAACTGTGACTGCGACTAGACAGGCGGTGGACACTCTAGGGGAGAAGCAGGACCAGTAGAGGGCGGGAGACCAAGAACCTGCTCCAGGAGCGGAACGAAGTACGGCCTCGGCCGCTCAGCGCCTCCAGAACCAGCAAGTACGGCACCAGTACCCCCCCCGGCAGCACCAGCGCAAGCAGAATCTCCAGCTCCAACAGCGCCAACTCCAGTACCCTCAGAAGCACCAACGCCACCAGCACCGCCAACGCCAACACCCCCAGCAGCTCCAGCTCCAGCAGCACAACTCCAGTAGGACCGGCAGCACCAGCTGCCTCAGCAGCACCCCAAACACACCAGCACCAGTCGAAACACCAGCGCCAACACCCCCAGCAGCTCCAGCTCCAGCAGCACCAACTCCAGTAGGACCGTCAGCACCAGCTGCCTCAGCAGCACACCCCCAGACGCACCATCACCAGTAGAAACATCAGCGCCAACACCCCCTGCAGCTCTTGCAGTACCCCAAGACTCAGCAGCACGTCTCCAGCAGTGGGCAAACCACACGCGCAACTCCTGTGGAGAGAGCGGCTCCCGCCTCGACATAGTACCGCCGGCGGCCACACGAGCAGACCCAGCACCCCCAGGCTCCGCACCCCCAGGATCAGCACCCCCACGCTCAGTACCCCCAGGCTCAGTACCTCCAGTCTCAGCACCCCCAGACTCAGCACCCCCAGACCCGGCACCCGCAGGCTCAGCACCTCTAGCAGCACCAGACTCAACAGCTACCTCGACAGGCTCGACTGCGTCTATCTGGGACACACCTGAAGGGGCAGGACCCTGAGGAGGGAGGGGGTCTACCTGGGTAGCACCTTGCGCAAGGAAGAGCGGTGGCGGGGGGAGGGGCGCAGTGCGGTAGGGGAAGAAACGGTAGTAAGGCACCGACTCGTCAAAGGTGACGTCATGGGAGGACAGGAAACACGGCGCGTGGTGGGGTGGTAAAACTGCCAGCCAGGCGCGTCAGGGGGGAAGCCAAGGAAGACGCAAGGAACAGCACGGGGGGACAGCTTGTACGCAGACATGTCGCGGACAAACGCCCGAGATCCCCAGACCCGAAACGCAGACGCATCACCAACCTTCCCTGTACACCGCAAGGCGGGGGAGGTCTCTGGCAAGGAGACCCAGGGCTGAAGGTTGAGCTGATGCGCTGCGTACTGGACCGCATACGGCCACAGAAAATGGGGGGCAGCCGCATGCATCATGGACGTACGCGCGACGTCTATGACCATGCCAATGCGGCGCTCAGCAATCCCATTTTGCTGTGGAGAGGCCGGAAGCGTGAAGGTCTGGCGGATGCCCCGTGCCCGACAGAAGGCTCACAGACGGGTAGAGGAAAACTTTCCTCCTCTGTCCAAGTGCAGACGTAAAACATGAAAGTCCGAGCCGAAACTCTCTCTGAGCTGGAGACGAGCTGCGCGGATCCAGTCGATCAACACCTCAGTGACGTCACCCTTGCTGCGCAAGGGGGAGATTGTGGTGTAACGCGAGTAGTCGTCAACGACCAGCAGAAAGTACCGCTCTCTCCCCTGCCCACTGACGCGGGCTGGGCCCCACACGTCCATGTGTAGAGTCTGCAGCGGAGCCTCTGTCGGAGGAAACTCGGAGGAGTGAGGGGCGGCGCGCTGTCGCCCCTCGACGCAGGAGACGCAGGTAGGGCCAGGCCCCGGAGGAAGGGGAGGGAGAGACCGAGGAAGACCAGAGACAAGGACACGGGAGGCCATGCCTCGGAGACGAGGCAGGGAGGGGTGACCAAGGCGGTGGTGCCAAAGGAGAGTCTGGTGGGACAGCAGACGACACGAGCAGGGGGCAGACTCAGGACCAGACCTGGACGCCGCAGCAAACACCTGACTCGACACAGCTACCTGGGCAGACTCACCAGTAGGAGGAGACTCAGCAGTAAGGGTGTACAGGCTCGACCGTGGTCGACGGGTGAACGTGGCCAAGTGTCGGCCTGTCCGAGCACACCTGCAGTGGGTCACTCCCTGACTCGCACGAGTGAACTGGTCAACCCCTCGATCCTGTAGGTCCGCTCCACTCACCAAGTTCGTAGAGAACGAGGGGAGGTAGAGACCAGACAGGGTGCCAAAGGGGGCTGCAGGGCACGGAAGGACAGTGGAGAAGCTGGCAAGGACAGGACCCCTAGAGGAGTCTGCCAGGGAGACTGCAACCGGCCGACTAAGCGGCGTAAGAGTGGTGCGGTCTCGAAAGAAGGAGCGGGACGCACCCGAGTCCAGGGTGAAGGTGTGGAAGGCCTGAGCCGACGTAGTACCTGAGAGAGCAGACTCACCAGCACCTGGGGCGGCAGACGCACTGGCACCTGGGGCAGCAGACGCACGAGCACCTAGAGCAGCAGTCTCACCAGCACCTAGCGCAGCAGCCTTAATGCCCGGGTCAGGCGATACACACAGGTAACAGGCACCCTCAACACTATCAGCAACAGCATACATGGCAGCAAGAATAGCATCAAAGTCAAGATCAAAGATAGCAACCCCGGCCTTAGCCAGATCTCCCCAGCGAGGGATCTCTGACGCCTCAGGGAACAGGCGACGCCACGCGTCCGTCAGGCGACCAAAGTAGCGCTGGGTGGAGTGCGGACCTCCGCACTTCTCACCAGTGCGGTCGCCGGTACGGAGAACGTAAGAGCAGGGACCAAAACCCCCACCGCGCTGGCGTGCAGTGTACCACTCACGAAGCTGCTGAGGGGACAGGGTCACACCACTCCGCTGCTGCTGCTGGCGCTGACCACCACCGGCGCCACTCCTCGGTGCAGAGTTGCGACTCGCTCCACCACCGCTGCCTCCGCTGCCCCGCCGCCGCCTCCTCCACCTCCGCCTCCTCCACTACCTCCGCCGCCTCCGCTCCCTCCGCCACCTCCAACGCCTCCGCCGCCTCCACTGCTGCCGCCGCCGCCGCTACCCCCAGCACCACTCCCACCACCACCACCACTCCCTCCACCGCCTCCACCACCACCTCCACCGCCCCCTCCACCCCCTCCAGTGCCCTCGCCCCCCTTGCCCTTGCCGGTGCGGCGTCTCCCGCTCGGGGCAGACGCAGCGCCGACCGACTCGAAACCAACGAGGTCGGCCGCAGAAGCAGAGGCAACAGAGGGCAAGAGGGGGAGGGAGAACTCCCCTCAAAGACGAGGGTCACCACGAGAGGCTCCTACACCGACTATGCTCTTCTCTATCGCTAGGAGGGCCTTCTCGAGGAGGTCAACAGTGAGAGTGGTGGGGCAAACAGAGAGGAAGTGATCCCTGACTACACGGAGAGAGTCAGGGAGACGGGTGACTATGTAGTAGAGGGTGATGTACATGGGGGGGGGGTCTTGGCGCAGAGTTCAGCAGGAAGCGCAGTGCGGTAGCGAGTGTCACTAGTGTGGAGGTGCGTAATGAGGTCAACGACTGTGGGAAAGGCAGCAAGGTCAAGGAAGAGGTACGGTAGCATGAGGCAGCTATGTGCAGCAGTGGCAGGGGAAGAGTAGCGTGCAACTACAGCGTCGTACAAGGTCTGAGCACTCTTGTACTGGCTAAAGTGTGCACACTCAGTGGTTGGTAAGTGGCGGCGCACAGCAAGGCGGGCAGCAGCGTCACGTGTGGCCCACTGTGAGCGAATAGTGGCGTCAGCATCAGCAGCAGGGGCAGGGGAGGCACCAGAAGTGAGGTCAAACAGGGAGAGGTCGTCTGCCCTATCGCACTGCAGGAAAAGCTGCAGATCATCTACCCAGACCTCAAAGTCCACTGCCCGACCCTCAGCGTCAAAGGTGAGAATGCTAGGGGAAGCCATAACAGCAGTAGGCAGGGCAGTGCAGTGGCAGAGACTGTGCTCTTACCAGGTAGGTGGAGCGATCGGGCTGCTCGGCGGCTCGGCTGTCGGGCGACTCGGCTGCAGGGCGGCTCGGCTGCTGGGCGGCTCTGCTGCTAGGCGGCTCGGCAGCTGGGCGGCTCGGCTGCTGGGCGGTTCGGCTGCTGGGCGGCTCGGCTGCACGGTGCTGGGCGGCTCGGCTGTCGGGCGGCTCGGCTGCTGGGCGGCTCGGGCGGTCGGGCGGCTCAGGTGGCCGGCGGTTCGGCTGCTCGGCGTTGCGGGCGCTGGGAGGCGGGGTCGCAGGTGGTGGCGAGGTCGCAGGTGGCGGCGGGCCGCAAGGGTGGGCGGGGTCGCGGTGGCGACGGGGCCGAAGTGGGGCCTAAGCAGGGCCGTAGAGGGGCCAACGGGGCCAAAGCGGGGCCGCGACAGGGCCGTAGCGGGGCCGACGGGGCCGTAGTGGGGCCGACGGGGCCGAAGCGGGGCCGCGACGGGGCCGTAGCGGGGCCGTAGCGGGGCCGTAGCGGGGCCTAAGCGGGGCTGACGGGGCCGAGGCGAGGCCTGAGCGGGGCTTAAGCGGGGCCGACGGGGCCGTAGCGGGGCCGTAGCGGGGCCGTAGCGGGGCCTAAGCGGGGCCGTAGCGGGGCCGTAGCGGGGCCGTAGCGGGGCCGTAGCGGGGCCTAAGCGGGGCCGTAGCGGGGCCGTAGCGGGGCCGTAGAGGGGCCTAAGCGGGGCCGACGGGGCCGTAGCGGGGCCGTAGCGGGGCCGTAGCGGGGCCTAAGCGGGGCCGACGGGGCCGTAGAGGGGCCGACGGGGCCAAAGCGGGGCCGCGACGGGGCCGTAGCGGGGCCGTAGCGGGGCCGTAGCGGGGCCTAAGCGGGGCCGACGGGGTCGTAGTGGGGCCGTAGCGGGGCCTAAACAGGGCCGTAGCGGGCCGACGGGGCCTAAGCAGGGCCGTAGCGGGGCCGTAGAGGGCGGCTGGAGGGGCAGTAAGGGCGGCCAATAGGGGCCACTAAGGCGGCTCGAGGCGCTACTCGGGTTAGGAGCTAAGCGCGCTTCGGGCAGGGAAGGAAAAAAAAAGTTCGTGGTGGGCCCTAGGCAGTATTCCCACTCGGGAACCTGCTCGATACCATGACGAGAAGTGAGAATGGAATGAATGAACTATGAAACAGTTGGGTACAAGTACTAACCCTAATTGGGTTGTACCCCTTATGGGCTACCCCACTACAGCCTACACAAATGTATAAGCTATAATGTTCTGACATGGTGCTACGTAAATGATGCTTGCAAAGCAACTCGGCATACGCTCCAACAAAGAGAGCGCCGCTCCATCCTTGGAAGCTTGGAAGCACCTCCTTGAGGTATATCAGCCGAAGGACTCAGTCACCTCCAGCAGGCACCTGCAGCAACTTATGGAGACCAAGATGGGGCACGAGGAGAAAAGGTATATATATAAACCGCTGTCGGAACATCCGTGATCAGATCACGAAACATGGGAGCGCAATTTCGGAGGAGAACTTCGTCAACATCGTTGTGAGAGTACGACAGCTTATGCTGGCTTTGCTAGCTTGCCTTGACATTATTGTGCTATATCTAGCTTGGGTTTATTTTATCATGCATGGATATGTTTGATTTCCTAGGTTAGGTCCATTCCTATATATTATTATAGCTATAGCACCAAACCAGGTTACGATTTGCTTTCTACTGAGTTCGGGTAAGTTCTGTTCGGGGCGCTGCGCGACCCTCAGAACATCCGCGTAACACCTAGGTAACTGACCTTGTGTCGCGACTATATATAGCCTCGTGTTGTACCCAGGTGAATCATTTAATTACAATTCTCTTTTCTGAGCTCGATCCTAGATCCTCATACTTGGTAATCAGAGCCTGTTTTTACGCTAAGTTTTTGGACCGCTAAAGCCTAACCTTTAAAACCGCGGGGGTGACAATAGAAATCGCCGATTACGAGATTGTAAACCAGTTCCGCGCTATTTTCTAACTCCCCCTCGAACTGGCTTTCGAACACTCTTCAGTTCCAGTGGCGAAAAAGTTGGAATTTCGACCGTCAGATCGATTCTAATCTCAACGGCCCTGACAATTTCGCCAAAAAAAGTGGAATTTGGAGCGTCGGATCGAATTTCTTCTCAACGGCCGAGATCGGACGCGAATTTCGACTAAGGGAGAATTACACGACATACAGAATCAGCGCTCGTCGTTTTTACAGTTGATTCGACTCATAGTAAGTCGACCAGCGCCTAGAATTCAATGTTCTTCGTCGCAAATCTTCATGTAAATCGCCAAATGGAGGAAAATGGTGATAATTTTGTACGAGAAAATACGGATTTACACACCGACGTGGACAAGACGCGAGCGGCACTCCAGCAAATAGAGGAGCTTCTCGCGAACCAGTCGGCAGCCGCCACAGTAGCAGCGAACGCAGCAGCGAATGCAGCAGCGACGACAGCAGCAGTAGTGGCAACACCGACACTTCACCTAGCAGCAACGGCAGCGGCTACAGTGAATCTTGAGGCGGCACGTCCAAGGCTACCGGAAATGTTTAATCCGAATGCGAGAGACACTGACGTCCGTTGATTCATCGCGACCCTCGAAATTTACTTCGAGGCCGTTGGTTGTACGACCCCAACACACGATGCAATGCGGATTCGGCTCGCAGCGATACTATTACGAGGCCCGGCGCTCGAATGGATTTACAAAAGCAACGAGGTCCGAGGCGAGAGGTCGTGGACGCAGTTTTGGGCAGCTTTAATTTAACGCTTCGAACCAATCAACTCCAGCTACATGGCGCGGCAACAGATCTATCGGCATCAACAGTTTGGCAGTGTAACATGGTACACGCAGCAGATGGAGAGCCTCTTCAACCGGATTACCGACCTGACCAAAGGGTAAAAACTTCAAGCGTATACTGAGGGGCTAAAAATGGAAGTTCGCCGACAGGTGACTGCCGCGAGCTACAACAACTACCGCGACATGGTGTGCGCAGCAGAGAGATTCGATGCGCTGATTCGAGGTCAATCCGAAAAACGAAGACGTGTGCCGAACAGATCATTCGGCACGGAGCGATCGACCCCACCCACATGTCAGATTTATATGACATAGCTGTTGTAGGCTATAGTGGGTTAGCACATATGGGGTACGACTTTCTAGGGTTTGAACTTGTACCCAACTTTCCCTTAGTCAATTCATTCTCGTTCATTTTCTCATGGTATCGAGCAGGTTCCCCTGTGGGAACTGTTCCTAGGGCCCACCACCTTTTTTTTCTTGCCCGGAGCGCGCTCTACTCTGCCCGAGTCGCGCTCCCCTCTTTCGACCCTGTCGCGCCGCCTTCGCGGTCCCGTCACGTCGCGCTTGCGGCCCCGTCGCGTCGCCCTCGCGGCCCCGTCACGTCGAGCCGCCCTAGCGGCCGCGTCGCGCCGCCCTCGCGGCCCCGATCCGCCGCCCTCGCGGCTCCGTCGCGTCGCGCCGCCCTCGCGGCCAGTTCGCGCCGCCCTCGCGGCCTCTTAAAGCCGCTCTCGCGACCCCCCCCCCCCCCCTCCTCCTAGCCGCCCTAGCGGCCCCGTCGCCTACCCCTGCAACCCCGGCGCCGCCCTTCCCGGCCCCGGCGCCGCCCTTCCCGGCCTCGGCGCCGCCTCTGCTGGCCCCGTTGCCTACCCTGCGGCCCGGCACCTACCCTGCGGCCCCGGCGCCTACCCTGCGGCCCCGTCGCCTACCCTGCGGCCCCGGCGCCTACCCTGCGGCCCCGGCGCCTACCCTGCGGCCCCGTCGCCTACCCTGCGGCCCCGGCGCCTACACTGCGGCCCCGTCGCCTACCCTGCGGCCCCGGCGCTACCCTTGCCGGCCCCGACGCCTACCCTGCGGCCCCGTCGCCTACCCTGCGGCCCCGGCGCTACCCTTGCCGGCCCCGGCGCCGCCTCTACCGGCCCCGCCGCCGTCCCCACGCAGCCCCGCCGTCACTACCGAGCCACCGACGCCGCCGAGCTACTGCCGAGACGCCCGAGCCACCCGAGCCGCCCAAGCCACCGCGCCACCTGAGCCGCCCGAGCCGCCGTGTCGCCGAGCTACCGAGCCACCAGAGCCACCGAGTCGCCGAGCCGCAGTTGCTGCCAAGCCACCGTACCGCCGAGTCGCCCGAGCCGCCAGAGCCGCCGAGTCGCCGAGCTGCATTTAAATGCCGAGCCGCCGAGCCGCCAAGCCGCCCGAGCCGCCCTGTGCGGTAAGAGCAGCGCCTCTATCACTGCACTGCCCTTACCCTACTGTTCGCGCTGCTAGTCTACTCCTGTCATGGCTACCCCTAGTGTCCTTGCTTTTGACGCTGAGGGTCAGGCCATTGACTTTGACGTCTGGGTAGATGACCTGCAGCTTTTCCTACAGTGCGATAGGGCAGACGGTCTCTCCCTCTTTGACCTCACTTCTGGTGCCTCTCCTGCCCCTGCTGCTGATGCTGACGCCACTGTTTGCTCACAGTGGGCCAAACGCGATGCTGCTGCACGTCTTGCTGTGCATCGCCACCTGCCTACCTCTGAGCGTGCACACTTTAGCCAGTACAAGAGTGCTAAGACCTTGTACGACGCTGTAGTTGCACGCTACTCCTCCCCTACCACTACTGCACTGAGCCGCCTCATGCTACCGTACCTCTTCCCTGACCTTGCTACCTTTCCCACAGTCAATGACCTCATTACGCACCTCCGCACTAGTGACACTCTCTACCGCGCTGCGCTTCCTGCTGAGTTCTGCGCCAAGAACCCCCCCCCCAATGTACATCACCCTCTACTACATAGTCACTCGGCTCCCTGACTCTCTCCGCATAGTCGGGGACCACTTCCTCTCAGTTTGCCCCACCACTCTCACCGTTGACCTCCTCGAGAAGGCCCTCCTAGCGGCAGAGAAGAGCATAGTCGCTGTAGGAGCCTCTCGTGGTGACCCTTGCACCCCCGTCTTTGAGGGGTGTTCCCCCTCCCCCCTTTTGCCCT